ACACCAGTGTTCTGAGATGCTGTATGCTATAGCCACCACTTCACTGTATGTATGTATGCATGCAAAACATCATACTGCATACCTCACATTTTTACAGTAAAATTAGTGACTTATTCCTTTGTGCTATAGCTTGATAGTTTGAATCTTTATGTTCCCTAATGGCTCATGTGCTAAAAGTCTTGGTCCATAGCGGGCTGGCACCATTGGGAGTTGTCAGAATTATAAAGAGCTGGGGGAAGTGTTTAGGTTACTGGGTGGGGGCATTTCGTTGAGGGAGTATGTGGGTCCCAGTTCCTTACTCTCTATTTTGCTTCAAAGCAATGAAGGGAGTGGTGTTTCTCAATGGCAGACTGCCATCATTACTGGATGTTCTTGTTGGCAGTCTAAAACAATAAGACCCACTGGTCATAGAGTGGAGCCTTCAATGTGCCTGTTCTCTTCGAAAGCTGGTTATCTCCAGGATTTTCTTACAGTGACAGAAACCTAGCCCATTTCACAGGTGGAAAGGAACCCGGCTCTGCTGCTGAAGTCTTTGCCTCCATCACTGTTAACTTCACTATCTACAGAAAATTGACTGTAGCTACTCTCCCTGAATGGCCACAGATGCTGCATCTCCAACAAACATCCATGATCAAAGTGTTCAGCTACTAATGTGAAAAAGGCTAGCGGTGGAAAACGGCCCAGGCTTTGTTACCTACTGAAACGAAGACAGAACAAAGAGCGTTCAGAAAGGCACCAGAGCCATAAAGAGAAAACATTAAGAAATCAGTTCTTTCAGAAAATAATAAGAGGCGCCTTCCTCTGAGAAAGCCATGGAGTTTTTTAAATATCATTTTTACATGCAGGTCGAAGCTGGCTTACAGTAGTTTGCGTTTTAGCATCTCTTTGACAATCATGCCCACTTTATTATTCATGACACTTACAATAGGCAGGACTGTAGATGCTATCCATCCAATTTGGAGGAAATGGTTCCATTTGGAATAGATTAGTATAAAGACTTTTATTATCATCTCTAATTTTTTAATGTAAGATATAGGAAAATTTATAATGAGAAAAAGCAATAATGTAACAGGCATTTCTGGATCACTTCCCCAAAAAGCTAAAATGCAACTCCAAGTCTCTCAAAAATCTTTTTAAAAGATGCCTGTTTAATCTCTGCAGAAAATGACACAGATGTGCGTACTCATTTGTGCAGCTCCTGTGTATTTGTGCATTAATTAAGTACTTTATTTTTAAAAGCCTCTCCAGAGAAACCCATTTAAATGCTTTGATTTCATAAATGTGATTCTTTTAAACCTCTTACTTTCCTGTATTAAATTAGGGTAGGGATTGCAAAGAACATAAACTTTTCTTCGCGCTAGCATCGCATTTTCAGTTACTGAGTTGCTGTTGCAGGATTTTGTCATTTTATACATTGAGTATTTTACATTATGCTATTAATAAATACATAATGTACAGCAAATGTTATATTATTGGTTAACTATTAATTCTGACAATTTCTAAAGGAAACAGAAATGTAATTTTAACACTTACAGCACCTTTCTTGGGAATGTATTGTTAAAAGATCATGGACTCAAAGTTAGCTAGGAAGGGATAGGAGGGTGGAAAGGGCAGTTATGGAACTGGGGGATGGGTATGCTCAAATACAATGTATGAATTTATCAAATAATTTTCTGGGTGGTGGAGCACACCTTTAATCCCAGCACTTGGGAGGTAGAGGCAGGTGGATCTCTTGAGTACGAAGCTAGCCTGGTCTACAGAGTGAGTTTCAGGACAGCCAGGGCTACACAGAGAAACCTTGTCTAGAAAAACTAAAATAAGAAAACAAATCAAGGACTTAACCAAAGCATTGTTTAAAAAACTTATACGAACAATCTGTTTATGATCACATACACACAGAAGACATCCATGACTGAGGATAACACACAGTCAACTGGACAGAGTGCAGTTAGAGAACCTGTGTTAGAGAAAAGCACCATTAAAGAATAAAGCTGGTAGACATAAGAATGGGTTAAAATCTCCTTCATTTAAGATGGCATAGTGGTCTTGATAAAGTTAAAAGAGGTTTGTGCTCTATGGTATATTTTCTGATTTTAGAAGCAGTTGGATGTTTCAGATAACAAGATGGCACTAAACCACAGTGCCATGTCTCATATTTATTCTTCCAAATTACAGACATACTATCATACCGCAAAACTCTCAGGATTTAGAATCAGGATACCTTCATTTGATTCCAAGCACTGCCTGATTTCATATTCTGGGATACTGGATGAGTTAGGTAACTTCTCCCATCCTCAGTTTCATTAATTATAAAATATTAGTGTCTATACAACATGATTATTGAATTCAAAGGACATAAAAATATAAAAGGATTTTATAATATATAAAGTTATATGAAAATTATGACCGGATATGTTTGAAAAAGACCAAATTTAGAGGCTGCTTCAAAAAAGTAACGTCTTGAGTGGGGGAGATGGCTCAGTGGGTAAAGACGGTTGCTGTGCAACCTGAGCTTAATCCCTAGAACTCCTGCAAAGGTGGAGAGAGAACCAAATTCACAAGGCCACCTTCTAATTTCCATACAAATCCTATGGCAAGCACACCTACTGGGAATTGGAACTCAGCTTTGTGGAAAGCACTTTAGCTACTAAGCCGTCTCCCCATCCCCTTCGAAGTATTTCCAGTCAGGTGGCACTACACAGATCTTTAAAGTGTTCGGCTTGACAGCATAAGGCTCACATATGAACTGTTTTTCTATTATGGAATGATTTCAGTCAACTTTGAAATTAGGTATATCTTTAATTTCTGTTGGAAAGAGTCAATACCAACATAAGAAGTCCCATCTTCTGAGACTGCTAAAAGCTAATGTCTGTTTAGAGGGACTAGCGGCAGGAGGATGGCACAGCAAACCACAGCCAGCTTCTCATAATAAGCAGGGAAGTAATAGGCATTTGTGTGTGTGTTCAAAATTCTTTGGCTGGGCAAGAATTATCTTCTTTTGTAATTATATACTTGGGGCTGATTTCTCATTTTTCAATCCCAAACATGCTTTCTTTTAAGATAGTACTTTCAGGTAGAGAACCTGGGCTTTGTGTGAATTTAGAAAAGCTTGTCTTCTGCATCTGAGCCTCACTTGAAAAATTTTCACGTCCTCATTCAGCTTCACTTACCCTAGGTACAATTCATGATGACTATTAAAATTCCCTACTTAAAAATTTCTGTTGGGCCGGGCGGTGGTGGCGCACGCCTTTAATCCCAGCACTTGGGAGGCAGAGGCAGGCGGATCTCTGTGAGTTCAAGGCCAGCCTGGTCTACAGAGCTAGTTCCAGGATAGGCTCCAAAGCCACAGAGAAACCCTGTCTCGAAAAAACCAAAAAAAAAAAAAAAAAAAAATTCTGTTGGATACTGCTTGACTTCAACAACTGTTAAAATCTGCTCTCTGATGCCTAGTATCAACAACATTTGCAGAGAAGGGAAATACAGCAGAGGGTCCAGTGATGGGCAGAGACAAAGAATAGAACATGTATGGCAGGAGACTATTATGTTTAGATCTTCATAAAACATCTCAAGATGACCCAATTATCTGATGGAGGAAATTGGGTGGGCAAAGTTTTTGTTTTAAATGTTTTCTTTGCCCTTACTAGAGGCATGTACAAATTCGCTCCCACATACCTTTTACTTTGTAATGTATTTACGCCATTTTACAGTGTATAAGATTTTAAAGAAAATTGAACCATTATGAGTGAAGGAGGGTAGAGAAGTTGCCCAGTGACGGAAGTAAATCTTTATAGTCAAGTAAAATAGCAAGAGTGATTATCTGGGAAGACTGTTTACCCCCAGGCACAATACTGTCTATTATATTCCCTGATTTAGCTCTAGAGTTGTAAGTCATGGGATAATGAAGCCGGTAAGGAACTGCTTAAGTTACCATCTAATGCTCCTGTAAAGATGGCTTCTCTTTTTGGATGGTATGTGTGTATGATGTGCAATCGTGTGTATATACATGTATGTATTGTGAGTGCATGTGTGTGCAGATGTGTTTGCCTATGTGCAGTGCAGAGACTGATGTTCGGTGTCCTTGATTATTCTCTACCACATATATTGTTGCAGGATTTTTCACTGAACCTAAACTTCAATGTTTCTGCTAATCTTTCTAGCCAGCTTGCTCCAGATATTTCCTGTCTCTGTTTCCTGCACTGGGATTACGGATGGGCCACAAACCAGCCCACTTTGCTTTTACTGGATCTGGGAATCTGAATTCCCAATTCTCATACTTGTGTGACAAGCACTGATAAAGATAATGCTGAGCTTTCTCTTCAGATCCACCGGTTGGTCTTATTGTCAACTTGATATGATTTAGAATCAACTTCTAGGTATGTCTGGGAAGGTATTTCCAGAGACCTATCTATCAGTGCTACTTCTATCTTCCCAGACACCAGCCTCCAGTTTCTTCATTCCCCCCATGCAGAATCAAAACCAGAGGTTCTGCAGGAATCTTCAGGCCTCCAGCATCAGTCTGGGATTGCTAAGGCTTTCAGCTTTGTGGACTGAGCAGCTACTGGATGGCCATTGCTGGACTATACAGGCCCTATCATGTTAGCCATTCTAATAAATTTCTTTTTATAATACATAACATATACATGCATTTTATTGGTTATGTTCTTCTAGAGAACATTGCTTAGCATAGCTGCCTTGGCCACCCACATTTGTTAAACAAATCTGGCTATACTTTTCCTTCTCCATCCAGAAGGTACTTATGAGGTTGTCATCCTTATAAAACCTCTTTGGACATTTTTATGTTTTTTTTTTTTTTTGAGACAGGGTTTCTCTGTGTAGCCCTGGTTGTCCTGGAACTTGCTCTGTAGACCATATTGGTCTTGAACTCACAGAGATCCACCTGCCTCTGCCTGCTGAGTGCAAGGATTAAAGGCATGTACCATTACCGCCTGGTTCTACATTATTTTTTGAAGCACAGATAATGTAGGGTTGAGTCTACTCACCTCGACTGTCATCCTCATTGTCTTCCCAGTGTTCCTCATTTGCCAGCAGCGGGTTCTGAGATTCATTTATAGACCTCAGAGGGAAGGAGTGTCCATCACCAGGGCTGGTGGGAAAGAAAGGTAGAGTTTGCATATGACACAAATTTCTTTTTTTTTATTCAAACTCAGTCATACACAGAAGGAGGGAGGGGTGAGGGAGAGAGCAAGAGAGAATGAGAGAGAGAGAATATGTGTGTATGTATGCATGTGTATGTGTGCATATGTGGAGGACAACTTATAGGAATAGGTTCTCTCCTTTCACCATGTGGATCCTGGTGATTGAATTCAGGTTCTTAGGTTTGGTGGCAAGCACATTTATACCCACTGAACTATCTCATCAGCTCAGGAAGGGTCTTATTTTGTGACCTAGGGAGGTTCAGAACTTGCAATCTCCTGTCTCAGTATCCTGAGTGCTGGGATATAGGTGTGTGTCATAATGTCTATGTAATATAAATTTTGAGACAGTGATAATCTTCTTAGAAATGAGATATAATCATGGATTTAAGTTTGTGTTGTGAGAATTCTCTGGTCCAATTCTTTACCACTGAGCTATACACCACAAGACTTGTGGATTCTTAGTTCTTTTGTCTAAAGCCATGATCAAATAAGCTCTTATTATCATCCAACCATTATCATTTACTTGCTAAATTACCCTCATTTTCCATGTCTTGTTTGTCTGTATCAATGCTGACTATTTTTGTTTGTAAGACATTCTTTAATTTGCTTTCCACAATGCCCAGTAGCAATATGCATATGCAATTTCATAAATATCACTTAACTATGATGGTCCCAATTACATCCCATTATCAAACCGTTTTGATTCTAAATTATAAAGTGAGGTGAGAAGACTCACCATCGCTAAACATTGTGGGAAAAGCTGCTATGAAGGGTGAGAAGGATGCTCCTGCACCCTGTTTTGTTTTTTACTTTTAACATAGAGTGGAAAAGAGAAATAGCAAGGTGTCTCTGCAGTGTGGATTCTAGGGACGATTTATCTACATGTGAGTCTACTTTGTGGGTCTCTATGGTAATCTAGAGCATGTCCCTAATTAATTTCTGGCCATTCCCAGATAGGAGGCCATGGCAGGAATCATGGTGGCCCTAGCCAGATACTGTTATAGTTTCAGCAATTGAGTCTATATTGAGTCTAATTGAGTGTATTCTGAGTTTAACTTTGGATGGCTTTTGGATTATTTATTTGATGCTGTATATACTTTTTTTCTCTTGTTTCTGAATGATGTCAATAAAAAGTTTACAGATTTTATTTATATTGCTCTACAGAAAATGTTAGAATAATGATTATGTAAGTAAATGGGCTTTGATTTTTGGTTTTGTTTTTATACTAGAGTGATGTGGTAACGGACTTTGACTATTTGTGTGCCTCAGTGTGTGATCAGAGTATATGTAGCTAATTCTTGCTAACAGTTATTAATCAATATTACCCATTGACGAATTTTGTCTTGGTATTTATAGTTAGAAGAGTTGACTATACCACACCTTAAACAAACAGCCCTATAAAACATTAACTGGCATAGAGGAAGTATTGATGCAGCAAGGGAGGTGAGGAGAAAATTTAACCTTTATTTATTTTTTTTTAAATTTTTTTCTTATTTATTTATTATGTGTACAGCCTTCCATGTGTGCCCGCATGCCAGAAGGGGGCGCCAGGTCTCATTATAGATGGCTGTGAGCCACCATGTGGTTGCTGGGAATTGAACTCAGGACCTCTGGAAGAGCAGTCAGTGCTCTTAACCACTGAGCCATCTCTCCAGCCCTTAACCTTTATTATTATGTGACTCCAGCAAAGTTTTTTTCCAACAAGAGAATATGGATATATGCTGTTTGCGCAGCGAACCTAAAGGATACAGAAAGGTCAAGACATTCTCTACAGTTCCTGTAGCTTGTGGTGGTTTCAATGGGGTCACAAAGTCACCCAAAGGATATAAGTCTAGCTCTACAAAAATAAATAAATAAATAAATAAATAAATAAATAAACAAACAAACAAACAGGTTTTCTCTGTGTAGCGCCCTGGCTGTCCTGAAACTCACTCTGTAAACACAGGCTGATGTCAAATTCATGATTCTCTTTCCTCGGGTTTCCAAATGCTGGAGTTATAGGCATGAACCACCATGCCTAGACTGAAGAACATTTTTGTGTGTAGTCTATTCTCCATCACTGGGATAACGGATGTTTTTAATATGTACTATCAAATTTATTAAAGATGGGTGCCAGTTTACCTTTCCACAAGTAAATCATGAAAGTGTCTATTTTATCATACCTCCACTTCATGATTTATCTTTATAGGTACACAAGTGAGAAATTTGGGGAAAATCATACCTATAAGACTGATAGCAATCTGCATTTGCAGATGGGAATGGTGACACATGCCTTTAATCCATCAGTGAAGTGGGAAAATCAAGTGGACAGCAGCAAGTTCATAGCCAGTTTGGTCTACAAAGTGAGTCCAGGCCAATCAGGGCTATATAGTAAGGCCTCATCTCAAAAGAAACTGAGTCTAATTTGCAACTATAGGTGCTCAGTCGTCATCAGAGAAGCTTGCTCTGAGATGGGAAGTGGTTGATGCAAAAACCCATAACTGGCCAAGACGGTGAGAATGAGTGATAGCAGCACGCTCGGCCCTAAGTTAGGCAGCTGGATTACCCCTCCCAAAGCTCAGGGAACGTCATGGAAGAAATGGTAGAAAGATGATCAGAGCTAGAGTGTAGAGAAATGGACAACAAAAAAACTACCTTCTGGACATGACACAGCCATTACAGCCATGAACTCACAGAAGATATGGCTATCTGCACAACACTTGTACAAGATTGGGCCCATCAACACTTCACCATAAATAGGGGATGAACCCATAAGGCCTCTCCCTCTCTGTGGTATTATTGGTAATTAACAGTTGTTGGTGGAAGGATTGTTTTCCTCAGCGGTGTAGCCATTGAAAAATTGTCCTTGCTCCAGTAAATAGCCGCTCATGCATGCATATGCCAGCAACACTAATTTAAGTGAGTCAGAAACACACACACACACACACACACACACAAAAGACAGGAAAGTAGACTTGTTGAAAAGAAGGCTTCCAGCAGGAGAGAGGAGGGATGAAAAAGGGGAGCGGGGTGTGAAAATTACCAAAATTCATTATAAATGTGTGAAACTCTCAAACAAAAACATTCAAAAATAAATTTGCTGCTTAGCTGCATGGCTCAGCATTAGCTGCTTCCAGTGGTAATAATTACCTACCTGGACCCAACAGGTATAAACCAGAACTTCTTATTATCGCCAAACACCTGCTGGATATTCTTGATGAAGCCAAGGTTAAACCCATTTTTCTCTGGTCCACTTGTAAATACTGGAGTGCAAAAGGCCTCTAATACAGTGCAGCGGAGTTTGGAAAGAGGAAGAAAATAAAGGAATACATTTCATCACTGTGATGATTTTACATCTCTCCAAAAGATGTGGTCTGCATTTATGACATCTCTTTGCTGTTTAAGCATAGGTCCATGTTCTTAATTATTGCTAAATTACTTAGTAAAATTCAGTTAAATTATTTAATAAAAGGTGAAATTGTTATTGAAACTAAGGAATTTATACTCTCATCATTTTAAGGCAGAGTAAATACACAATGGCAAAAATAATACAGCATTCTTGAGGGGCATGTCATTGGGCTGTAGAATTTAAGGAGTGCATGAATAGATTTAAGTGTACTTTATTGGAATCAAAGTAGCAACAATAGCCAAATGGTCTCCATCTGTAGATCTGGGACCAAAGTAATGACACATAAAGAGATGGTAATGACATTGATTTGGTTTTGAAACATTTCAGAAATGAAGATGTTCACAATGAAACCTGCAATGTAAAAAACCTAGTTTTACTCCAGACGAAATGTCAATGGGTGAACTGTAATCACCTCAAAGCGTACGAGGAACTGGGCCACATTAGTGCACGTTATTTTTAGACACACATTTATCCCATTAAGCAAACACTTTCACTGTTGGGCTCTGGCTGCATCTCACCATTTCCCATTTGCTCTTTGTTTTCAGACCCTGTTATCATGAAGCTTTTAGTACTTTTCTACTTTTGTAGCTATCTCTCAACCAAAAGTGCTAATTTACTACCCTAAGTACTAAGTGCTATACGTATATTTGATTTAGAAAAATGGGTGCAAAGATTCCCCTAGCAAATGAATTCTCCAAGTGCAGTGGCTTTTACACTAAATTCCTTTCAAATCTAATTCATCCTAGTTAAACGTTTAACACTTGAACGCTTTCTTCCTATTCCTTGTGTACTGACTTATAGACCATGCAAATATTCACCACAGATGAAGTAATTATTGCACTAGAATTCTTTTGTTCTATATATAATAACAAGTCTAGAGTACTAATTGACAGCAAAAAAGAAAAAACCCAACTCATTTAGTGTACTGATTTTCTGCAGATTTAATATGCATATCTCATTTGTATGGTATTTTTATATACTCTTTTGACTGTAAGTATCAATCTGATTCTTTATAAAAAGAATTTTACATTTTTAAATTTATTTATTCATTTTGTGTATGTGTGTGTTTATGTGCACACACCTGTGTGTGCATGCCATGGTATGAGGACAGAGGATAACTTGTGGGAATCAATTCTTTCATTCTACCACGTGGGTTTCAGAACTTGAACTCAGGTTGTCAGGATCTTGGAAAGCACCCTTACCTGCTGAGAAATCTCGATGGCCTGGACTTTCGCATTCATTTTTGTTATTCATTTGGAGTCTTTTTAAGGTCCCTGTTTTGGGCTAAGAATCATCAACTAGATTATTGTTATTTAGTGTCCTATCTTCCTTCTGATACTCATTACTTCATGTGAACTTTCTAGAAGCCAGATTGTAAAATTGGGGATGTACAGAACTGCGATCATTGTGGGTTCTCTATGGGATGCGACTCATGGATGCTCTGTGTAGTCCATAAGTTTGTTCACTATTGTTGTCCAGTTTAGTAAAATGTATTTCCATTTGTCTCAGGGGATATCACTAAAGCTGAAATACTTTACTATTAGTTTTTCTCTCCTTAGGGAACAGTGATATACATTAATATGCATTTTTCTAATCATAACATTCCATCTTACCTAAGGTCGTTTTGTTTCTGCTGACAAGCCAACAATGGTAACCAAAGAGAATCACAAGGCTGACAAAAAACATGCAGGCCACAAAGAGGAGAAAGAGGACGTGGAACTTAGAGCGAACACTAGGTAATTCCCCCTAGAAAAGAAACAAGAGGCAAAGAAAACAAAACATTAAAGTGGGAATGCTTGGCTATCTTTTCTATATAGATTAGTATTAGTAGTGTTTCACATGTAAAAATCCAGCTCCAATTTGAAAAATAGATTTTGTAAGCTTAAATTTTATTACATGCATTTATTTATTTTGTGTGTGCATGCACACATGTGTGCGTATGTGTGTGTTTGTGTATGGACATGCCAAAGTGCGCAGGTATGGAAGTCAGAAGACAGCCTGTGGGATTCAGCTCTCGCTCTACTATGCAGATTCCAGGGACTGAAGTCAGGTCATCAGACTTGATGACAAGTGTATGTCCTGACTATTACTTATTTATTTTTACAAAATTATTGATCATTGTACCTTATTATAGATATATTCTTAGCTTGCAAAGCTTAAAATGGATTCTTGTTTAAGTGCAATATATAAATGCACCAATTAGAATGGAGTAATATGAAAAGGCTATGTATGCTCAGGTCATAATTGGTGTGAAGCCCATATTTCATTTAGCTTGAGAATTATGAATCACTGTCTATGAGATCATAAGGTTAGTACTGTTCATCCTATTGTCTGAGGGTGTCTATAATAGAATCCTTTTATTTTTTTAAATAAAACCTCATACAAAAAGCCTATTTTTAAATTTTTGCTGCATTATGTGTGTGTGTTGTGCCTTCATGTATGTCTGTGTAACACATGTTTGTTTGGGGCCCACAGAAGCCAGAGAGGGTATCAGATCCCTTGGAACTGAAGTTATAGAGGCTGTGACCACCATGTGGGGGCTGAGACTGAACTTGGGTCCTCTGGAAGAGCAGTCAGTGCTCTTAACTACTAAGCCATTTCTCCAGCTCCTTATACTACTATTCCTTATACATCATGTGTCTTTGGCCGTATGTGTGTTAAAAATGCTAGATTGTTGAATATAAGAAATTAAAACACAGAATTTTAAAATGTCTTACCAGAAGTCATGAGCTGATTTTAAAGCTGTTGAAATTTTATGTTTTTTTTTTTAACAGTTGATATAGAATTTGCTGGTATACTATACCCTGTGGAGTAGCTGTTTGGACAGTAAAAAATCAAGCTTATAGATAATTGTGAAAGTAGGAAGTTAAAGATTGTTAGAGTTAACTGGACATCTTATTTTCCATGCAGCTCCAGTTTTTGTTTGATATGCAATTCTAGAGCAGAATAAATATTCTAAAGTTCTAAAGCATTCATCACATGTGACATTTTGTCTTCAGAAAAGAGACGTGGAAAGCATTTTGAATTTTAGAAAGAACATCTGGAGGAATGATTATGGCTTATTTCCTCCTTTCCCTTAATGGTCATTGTTTGGCACGATGAATTCGCTTGAGGCATTTCCAGATGCCCTTCAGTGATAAAGTTAAAGTGATTCTTAAGTGAAGTGGAACTTAACTTCCTCACGATCCTATTTGACTCCACTTACTGAAGGTTAGTGCTTGGCAACACTTGCTAAGTTCAAACACTATAGGTTTCTTTCTTTCCTTGGAGGCTATTTTTATTCATTTTTACATAAGGAAATGCTGGACCTCTTCCAGGTCGGATACGTTTGCAGTGCAAAGATAAGAGGAAGCAAGCACATCAGATGCTCTCATCTGATGGGTGGTCTGGGTGAACCGTGTACAGGGCAGAGCAGTCGAGGAAACAGCTGCCTCAAGGACTTCAACTTTCAGGAGCCTTTATCTGAAACTCTCCATCTTGAAATGCTCCTTCAGACAAAATATTGACCTAAGCACCGAAACTGAACTGGTTTGGTTCCTGGTTGGTCTGATTCATGGTTTACTTTTTTCTTCTAATTTTTGCTTTTGCTGTTCTCAGGTAAAATTTCCAATAGCACTTCACAGTGCCTCTCACCTTCCCTGAGACTTTGATCACATGAGCTCTTCTTTCTGAGCCTGTATTTAAAGTTCTAAAAGCTCGCATTGACTTTCCCTTTTTACATGAAAATGGGCACTAGAAAATGGCTAAGCAAGTGAGGTTGTTCTGAAAGTCTGCTCCCATCTTGTGTAGCTGTGCTCCCAGCCTTTCCCCATCACTCTTTCTGAACTCATCTGTCTGTATGGTTTAGAATATCTGCTGTGCTGTACTTTCATAGAGTTCACAATATCAACTTTGCCTGTGCAAACAGTTCTGTGTTCAAAAATGCATTTCCAGGAGATAACCAAGCTAAATCCCTCAGAGCAATGGTCATCAGAGACAGTTCAGAGGAAGATTTGTAAAATAACATAATTACTAGGTTATAAATAATAATTCATCACCTTTGTAAAGAGGTCCGTAGCCTAGTGTGGTCAATGCGCATTATTAATTTGGCAAAAGGCAAAGATTAATCTCTCTTTTGAGAGTAGAATTTGCTTAATTTAACACTGAAAGGAAAGAAATGATGTGATGGTCTTCTGAATCCTTTCTTCTAAAAGAATTAAAGCCTGTCTATAGCAGAACCATCATAGGCATAGTACATGGAAGATCACAGAGGCTTATGGGCAGACTTATGTTCAAGTTCTCCCTTTGAAATTTACAGCCAGGTAGGTGATTTTTGACAAGTTACTTCTGCTGTAAGCCTTAGTTTTGTCATCTTGGAATGTGACAAATAGTTTTTGCTTTGGCTACTTCACAGGGTTGTAGTGAGGATCAGATGAGATCATAGATATAAAAATACTTCAAGAGCCATAAAGTACCATATATTAGAAGTTGCTGTTCTTGGGAGTACAGCTTGTCTCTTTGATATGGCTTTAAAATATATGGCAGTGTTTATTTTTTATTTTAAGAAGAGGCTCAATTTAAACCCAGAAAGCCTTGTATCCCTAAGCCATACTAATGTCATTTAGGCCAGAGTGACTGCAAGGAACCATTTCCCCAGTTGTTAATGCCCTTTTCAGTGTAAGGACAAGCTATGACAGGCCTCATGCCCTCTCAGATGACAAGCATAAGTTAGGCTATTGAGGAGGAAAAGCAATGAAGGAATAGGAAAAGAACAAGGTCATGCTCACCGTGGATTTGCTTGTACTGCTGGCACATTTCTCGTGACGAATTCCTATCCAGTTATCATCTTTTAAGAGTGAAGGAAGCATACAGTACCTGGCTTGCATTTCAGTATTTGATTATTGGCTGGCTAGGGGAGTTAAAGGCAAAATGTGCGAAATGCAATGTTGTTTACTTTGTGGTAAAGGTAAAGAGTCGTGAATAAATGGTAGCCCACTGTGTTAGGGCTCAAGAAAAGCATGTAAGAAAGATCAAGGCTCACACTTCCCTGCTGATTGGATGCAGCAGATTTTCTTCATATTTATAGAAGTAGCTCAGCATGCAGATGGAATGCCAAATAGGTCATGGAAACCTGAGGAATGGGGAATAGATGTCGTGCTGTGGAAAGGGGCCAAAGAAGAAATATCAAGATGTGTAGCTTGTGAAGAAATGTTTCCTATTTGAAGAAAATGCACGAGAACATCTCATCATTTCTGCTTGTAGTTTGTTTAAATTAGGGATTTTGATACCCAATATATTGCTCCTGTTTCTTACAGCTATTAATTATCTGAATTTATTAAGCAAGTTGAATAGAAAGTGTAATTGTCTACATTACTAGGAATAAAAGCACTGATTCATAATTTAAATATTTTAAAATTTAGCTTCTCAGTGTCTTGTCTTTTTCTTTCCTCCAATTCATTATTATTTCTATTCTGACCATGTGATTTACATTCTTTCCCTGCTGGTTTACTGCTCCAGCTTAGATATGACATCCCTTGTTATATAAGGCTTTTGCAAATTTTCTAAAGTAATAACCAGTAGCTCTGCTCACATTTGTGTTTTTCTATTCATTTCAGTTTAGATAACTCTCATTGTCGACACCTTAATAACTGTATTATAGTGTAGGAAAGAGATTTCTTTGAAAGTTTAACTGGCAGAAGTTGACAAAGGGCATATTTCATAATATTTTACTTATTCACATATGCAAATCTACCTTAACTTTTTTAAATATACGGGATATGACTGATATCTCCAAGTAGGAGAAAGATAAGATTTTGAGTTTTTAAAATTTTAAGGTTTTTCTTTTGTTTTTGAGATTTTGTGATAATTCTTAGAATCATTATATGTTTCATTGGATCTTAGCAAGAGACAAGTGCAACAAGTAGGTAATAGAGCCAGTATCAGATTTGCTGCTCTCACTTCCCAACCCACTGGCCTTCACACATGCTCAAAAGAGAGGCTGGCTGTGGCGGCAGATGCCTCTCGTCAGTCCCCAAACTCGAGACAGATACACGCAGATCTCAGAGTTTGAGACCAGACAGGTCTACAGAGTAAGTTCCAGAACAGCCAGGGCTATGTGGAGAAACCCTGTCTCAAAAAAAAGGCACCCCCCACAAAGGTCCAAAGAGACTCTCTGTATCATTTTGTGCTTATATGCAAGTCAGTTTCTCTTTCTTTGCAACAGAAACTTTGCAGCTCCCATCTGAGCATGAAATTACTAAGTATTTTCTAACTAATTCCTATTAACTTTTTTTTTTTTTTTAGAAACTAGTGATTTGTAATTAGTTTCAACTGTTTTTCAAATATACAGCTGGAAAGAAAGGTCTTTAAAACTCAAGCACAGACACGGATTTGAAAGAGTGGGTCAGCTGAGAGGTTACTCTCCCTGAGCATTAGCAAGCAGTCACAGATGACACAACTCACTTAAGAGGGATCTTTACTCAACAGTTTCTTAAACTTCAGAATATTCAACATGGAAAACAACTTTTTACTGCCTTGCCTTCTGGTTACTTCATTAATAGGTATTTCAAAATGCCAAAGGCTATAGAGTGAGGAGTGCTACATTTAGAGCCACTATTCACTTCCTTCGGTGGGAGCCGATTGGGATTTGTAAAAACTTACTCTCCAGTATTTGATGAAATAGCTGAAGACGGTTGTCACAATGTACAGGCAATAGAGAACGGAATAAGCTAAGAACTGGAGGAAGAATTTGTAGTTGGAAAATCCAATGCAGTTGTTAACCCTAAAAAAAAAAAAGAAAGGAACACTAATTGGAAATCAGGACCTATTGACTGAGAACACACTGATAGTTAAGTGGACGAACGAAAGGAGGCACGTGACTCCTGCTGCTTCATTACCTGTTGTGTGGAAACCCAACAGAGACTGAGGCTCCTTAATAGAAACAGACTGGAAAAACAAGTTCACACCTCACTAGTTTCCCTTTTTATTTACCAGCAGAGTCACCTGCGCTACCTAATAGCTTTAGAATGGCTCCTGAAACACCCAAGCAAACCTGGATTTTCATTGCTAAATATATGTCTGTCTTAGTAGCTGCACTTTGACGCTCTCTTGTTGTAATTAGGTGATTCCACACTGGCTTTTTAGGTCAGACACACAACTTTTACAGAAGAATCACTGAATTTAACTATCTGTAACATTTCAAAATCAAGTCTTCTAGAAAGAGAAACAAATTGCATGATGTTGAAGAAGAGAAATACTTGTGCTATATTTCATTACTGGCTCAATGGCTAAAGTTAATGGATAGGAGACTATTAGCTTTGCAACCTCAGGAACTCACTACCATACCTTTATTGGTATTTTCATCATTGTTTTAAAATGTTATCCTCCCCATAAAAACAAAGTCCAGTGAATTAAGGTAGCAAAAATGGGTATGTTGCAACTCGGCTTCAAGAAGTGGATATATTAAACAACTTTGACCCTTTTAGAGGATAGAAATGAATCAAAAGAACTTACCATGGGCAGTGATGGTCCATTTTCAAAACACATCTACAAAGAGGACAAAATACAGTATGATAAAAATGAAGAAACACTTCAAAATTGAACTCAAGTTTTTAGCAGTATATATAGTTCAGCAAAACTATCTACAGATTTCCACTCTGGCAAGTCCAAAGTTACTGCCTCCTAAATGACTCATGGGATGATAAAGTTCCAGCACCATCCTGGGACTATGCTTGCAGCAAGTGACAACTCCAGAAGTATAGTCTTGAAAGGGATAAGGAACTCCAGACTACCGGTACAGTGAAAAACTTCAAGATGTCACCTTTAGCTTTGTTTACTTATTTCAATAATAATGCAAGGAAATATAGCCTGAGTCTGAATCAAAGGTAAGCAGAATATGGGTGGAACAGGCACTCAGGAGCAAAGGTATGGCAGTAATATACACTAACACAAAAAGTGGTCGTTACAAACCTGGAACAATTTAAAAGACAAAATAAAATACAATGTTGGTTAGTAACTCAAAATAGAAAATAAATATCTATACCTCTGTATTGATTCAAATGATTGAATAGACAAATAAGTGGGGCAGAAGGGACACATCTCCTTATGCAGATGTATTCCAAATAATTTACGCATATATTTCAAGGAGAGGAGACATAACTTCCTATTACTTTAGTTTGGAGTTATGTAGAGTGACTTTCATCCAAAAATCACAGTTCAGAAATGAGAAGAGGACAGAATAATCTCACACTGGAAACACCTCACAAACATCAGTTGAGAGAGATGTTCAATATGAACACTGTAGTCAAAAGTCATGTTTATATGTACCCTTAATACCATGTAATGAGATTAGTACATTAGCTCCATGCTCTATGCTCCATGCTTTTCCATGGGAAAAGAATAAACACATTTTAACTGAGGGACAATTTATAAAACATCTGATTCTTAATCCCCCAAACTGTAAAGGTTGTCAAAGCCAAGTAAAATCTGAGAAATTTTCATAGATAAAATGACCTACAGAGTAGATGTGACTAGTTAATGTAATGGGATATGCTGAATGGAATCGTGGAACAGAAAAAGAATATTAGGGGGAAAGTGAAGATATCTAAAAAGTATATTCCAGTTATATAAGTCACCCAACAGAAACACTCACATACATACAAAATGACATCTGGACAAAGATGTTTATATAGCATTGGTTTGAATAGTAAAAGTAAATTACATAGAGTTTCAATAGTAGAACATTTTTATAATTAAGCTATATTACAATAGAATACAATGAAAAACAATGTCTTAATATTGGTTTATTAATCTTAGAAATGTATTATACTAATGGAACATATTAATAATAGGGGAAAGTAAGTGTTAGACATATGAGAACTCTCTTCACAATAAATCTATAAATGAAATCATTTACAATGAAATGTTTCTTTTGAAAATGCAGTATTATTTTTCTATCTTTAGACTAGAATGATTATCACCCCTGTGAAAGTGTTTGGCATGTGTTCATTATGTCTCAAAAGAAATGCTCTTATCTAGGCATGGTTACATGTTAGGATCAGTCATTTCGTTGTCTAGGCAACCATCAGTGGCCAGCATCAGCACAGAGAAAGTATAGTTGTCACTTACATAGCACAGACAGAACAGTGATGGCAGCGGTCTGGCTTGATTAGATGGCACCGGTCACAGAACCGCACAGCTATAGAAAATAGAAAGTGGTCAGTATGAGTTCAGGGTCAATATAAGATCCCACCATTTACTAGTTTGTGGTTATATCTTGTTACACACTGACTACAGATGGCCAAATGTATCTCAAGCTACTAAGTAAAATATAATAACAGCAAATTGTGGCATTTAAATTTTTTGTTTGTTGGACCAGTCTTAAGAGAACTTTTAAGGGATGAAAGAAGGGGGAAAAGTTTCATCTTTGGATAAGTGACAAAAAGTTTTGTATTGTAAACTAACTACTATCAACTGTTTTATGATTTGGGAACTCATTTAGTCTGTTTATTTCAACTTTCCTCCCTGAAAATAAGAATTTGTCTCCTATTTCCAGAGGTTAGATTGTATAAGATAGATACAATTCCTACAGCATGATAAAGAATGTGGTTCTCAAAATAACAATTTGGAGAACAAAAGAGACATTTTATCTAGGACAATTTGTTGAACTCCCCATTTTGCAGATAAAGAAATGGAAACCCGTGCCACATAAATTGCCATGATCAAGGCCATGTCACAGCAAATGAATGGCAGGGCTCTAATCTATGCAGTTCTTCTGACTTCTTAGTTTTGGGTTCTATTCATACACACACACACACACATACATACACACACGACTCCCTAAGTGATGGAATGTTATGGAAGTGCAAAATAAACCCTTTCCTCTCCAGATATATATATATATATATATATATATATATATATATATGCACATTGTTTGTGTGTATTTATGAATCTTCTTCCTTCCTTCCTTCCTTCCTTCCTTCCTTCCTTCCTTCCTTCCTTCCTTCCTTCCTTCCTAATAAAGGCATTTATTATTTTTTTCTCAGTTTTCTCCACATTTACTGTTAGATTGTTGCTATGTATAATTGCACAATGCTGTTATTTTTGTCTAAAACCTGAAGGTACAGATAATTTGAGAAATATAACAATTCTATCTAAAGTGTACATTGGACACATATAAACGAGTTAACACAATAGGCTGCAAATTCAGCAGAGCCCCGTGTTCATTTCTGCTAATGAGTGTTTGTGTGCATGTGTATGAGAGGGGGGAGGGAGGGAGGGAGGAAGGGAGGATGGGAGGAAACGACAGGGAGAGAACGAGCATATCATGTCTTAATATATGCCTGCAATAGTTCTGTAATTGATCATCTGCCCTTCATTGTTGCTGCCATACAGTACTTAATATACAGAGCTGCTAGATGATTTATTAAAAAGTAAATCAAACATATTATTATCCACTTGACATTCAGTGAATTTCCAACATGCTAGGAATAAAATCCAAATTCTGTATCAGAGCTTGGGGCCTCTGCCTAACTTTTCAAATGTCCTTTGTACCACTGTCTATTCTCTATGCTCCAGTGTCATTGACTACCTCTCTGTCCTTCTAAAACTGCAACCTTTTGCCTATCTCGTGGCCTTTACAGTTCTTTATGTCCTTAGTGATCATCTCTCTATGCTCTTTGATCAATGGCTTGATGGCTAGTTTTTTCATAAGACAAACACTTTATTTTTCTTTTTTTAGAAAAGAAAATAAACTATCTTTTTTCATTTTATTTACCAAACCCAGTTCCCACTCCTTTCCCTCCACCTAGGCCCACACTCCCCATCCACTCCTCAGAGAAGGTAAGGCACATTGCTTTGGGGAAGGTCTAAGGCCCTCCCTAGGTTGACCAAGGTATCCATCCAAAGAGAATAGGATACCAAAAAGCCAGTACAAGCAGTAGGGATAAATCCTGGTCACTGTCAGTGGCCCTGCAGTCTGCTCCAGCCATGCAACTGTCAACCACATTCAGAGGGACTAGTTTGGACCTATGCTGGTTCCTTCCCTGTCTGGCTGGAGTTGGTGAATGGTGTGGGAGAATTGTCTGTATTCTGTCAATCATATTTTAAATAAATGCTGATTGGCCAGGCAGAAGTATAGGTGGGTCAACCAGACAGGAAGTAGAGGTGGGACAATGAGAACAGGAGAATTCTAGGAAGGAGGAAGCCCATTCCTCCTTCTCCTGCCCAAACCACCTAAGAAGCAGGATGTGATCTACCCCACTGAAAAAGTTACTGAGCCATGTGGCTAACATAGATAAGAACAATGGGTTGATGTAAGTTACAAGAGTTAATAAGAAGAAGCCTGAGCTAATGGGCCAATCAGTTTATAATTAATGCAGACTCTCTGTGTGATTTTCTTTGGGGCTTACCAGCTGTGGGAACTGGACAAGACAGAAACCCAAACAAGCCCAGCCCTCGTGTTACAGGTGAACTTTCATTAGCTCAGGAGAGCTAATTAGTGGGAGAGCGTTAGATTGATGACTAGTTTTATTTGACAACTTAGTTGGTCTGCTGGTTAGTTTCTGCCAGCTTGATACAAATAGGAATCAACTGGAAGAGGGAACCTGAACTGAAGAATTACTTCCATCAGATTGGCCTGTGGGCATGTCTGTGGAGTATTTCTTGATTGATGATGGATGCATTAGAGCCCAGCTATCTGTAGATAGTGCCATCCTTGGGCAAGTGGTCCTGGGTTATAAAGAAAATTAGCTGAGCAAGCCATGGAGAACAATCCAGTGAGCAGCATTCCTCCAGGGTCTCTGCCTCTGTTCCTGCTTTGAGTTTGTGCTTTCTTTCCTCGATGATGAAATGATATTTGTAGTGTAAGATGAAATCAACCCTTTCCTCTTTAAGTTGCCTCTGTGCAATGTTTTATCTTAGCAACAGTGAAAACAGCTGGGTGTTTCTGCTTGTTCCTGGTGTTTGCATTCCTGCTGTGAGTCACTGCCTTGACTCCCTAAGTGATGGAATGTTACCTAGAAGTGTAAGATGAAACCCTTTCCTTTCCAGGTAGCTTTTGGTCAGTGTTTTATCACAGCAACAGAGAAATTAACCAAGACAATTGGATACCCACTATGTGGATATGTTTTATATCTGTATGTTAATGGGGATGTTTCCAGAGGAAATGGCCTTTGAATTGGTAGACTCAGGAAAGCAGATCATCTGCAGTGTGGGTTGGCTTCCTTCAACCGGAAGAGGAATTTAATAGAAAAAAAAAGGGTCTGAGAAAGGGAGAATCTGCTCTCTTCCTGCCTGCATTAGTGGGGACATTAAGCTTCTTCTCTTTGACTAGATCTTACGCAATTTGGATTCCTTTTCTCCAGGTCTTCAGAAATGAACTGAAAATTGCACCATCAATCCTCTGATACTCAAGGTTTTGAATTTAGCCTAGAATGTACTATCTTGGTTTTCCTTAGGCTTAGGCCTTTTACCTCAAATTGGAGTTATACCACTACCTTTTTGGGGGACTGCAGCTTTCATATGTTCATAGTGGGAGTTTTCAGCTTTTGTCATTGCCTGAACTAAAATACTAAATTTTCATAATAAATTATCTGTATATCTATCTATCTATCTATCTATCCATCCATCTATCATCTAGTCATCTCTCTACCTTATCTAATCTACTGGTTATCTTTCTTCAGAGTGCCAGTAATATAGCTTTTGGTACTGAAATTGAGTCTAGAGAAAAAATTTAAATGATGTTTTTGAATCTGTCTCCAGTTTGACTTTCTGAACATGGGTTGCTTGTGTTATTCAAATTAAATTTTTAAAAGTTGATTTAATTAAATTAAACTAATTACTACACTTCAGTAGTAAAGAGCATACTGGTAATCCATGCCATGCTCTAGCAGGACAGTGTGTAAAGTATCTCCAATAAATGCTATCAATAACCACAAGAAGCAAGGAGATAGATGACTGTATATTTGTTTTGGAACATTTGAAGAAAACTAACAAAATAATGAGGTTGGCTTGTTGTTCCTAACAGTGCTGGAAAAGTAATAAAAGAAAAGAATGAGATATGGGTTTCAAATTTCCTGCACAAGAACTGTGTAAATGACTGTAAGCGACTGTGCTTCTCCTGAAGGAGATGCTTATCTCAAAGCCACAGGACAGGCATCAGTGAAAATCAAATACAGAATTTCATCTTGAAACCACTTAAATTACAATGCAAGTTGAACTCCTGGTCTTGTAGGATGTTTACTGTTAAACTGGGGGCACTGACTGTGGAACAGTAGGACTCTGTAAGAAGACCCAGTAAAGCCAGGGATATCAAGATTCTGTTGACTGCTTCTTACCAGAGGAAGATGTCTCCCTATTACCAGTGGAAACCAGCATCTTCATTATCAATGGCATTAGCTTTTCCATCCCTGAATGAAGGGGTGTGCCAGGAAACTGTGGCCACCATACAATACAATGCTGATTCTCTCCAGGACCCTCTCTTCTCTGACTCTAGATCTACAATTAGACCAAAGGATCAGCATGCACATAAAGGTGATGTGCACAGTATGACCCATGAGGATGTACAGTATATTTGAAAAGAACTACTCGAGTTTTATAATATAAACATATAAATCCAGAGAAAATGTGTGGGAGCAGATATTAAGAATATAGGGCAATTCTGGAAGGAATATTGAATTAGATTAAATATGAATTTAATACAGTATAAACCTTAGCAAGTAGCCTGGCTCTTGAAAAGTTCCAAGGAGTCCATAGGGATGACCTCAGCTAGGACCCTGGGCATTAGACAAGACGGTGCCTTAACTGGCCTTACCCTATAGTCAGACTGATAAATATTTTTTTTTTTTTTTTTAGTTTTTCGAGACAGGGTTTCTCTGTAGCTTTGGAGCCTGTCCTGGCACTAGCTCTTGTAGACCAGGCTGGCCTCGAACTCACAGAGATCCGCCTGCCTCTGCCTCCCAAGTGCTGGGATTAAAGGCGTGCACCACCACCGCCCGGCTGGACTGATAAATATTTTAAATATCACCATGGAACCTTCTCCCAGCAACTGATGGAGGCAGAGGCAGAGACCCATAGCAGAGCCCTGGGCTGAGCTCCCAAAGTCCAGTTGAAGAATTGGAAGAGTGAGAATATGAGCAAAGAGGTCAGGAACATGATGGTTGGCACACCCACTGAAACAGCTTACCTGAGCTAATG